CACATTCAACTAAAAACTTAACAATGGACATTTCAAAGTATATCTGTAAATATACAAAGATATATAGATATATAAACAGGACAACAGAAAGCAAAGTTTGGGATTTTAATGCTTGTGCAAGTTCATATGTAGGATGAGATGCGACCAAAGAAGGTGGGGTGGGGGTCGTATTATTTGAAGACGTTTTCGAAGGCGGGGCATTTGTAGGTCTTGAGTTTCTTGATGGCCTTTTTGAACTCTTTGCTGGACTTGTCCCACTTGTGGATGCCCGTGAGGAGGTACTGCTTATCCACCTTGCGGCCCATGATTAGGTACTGGTTTCCCAGGTTGTCCAGCTGCTGGCAGGGGCAGTCCGCACCGTTCTTCAAGTACAACACCAGCGTCTTCATGTCCTTCTTCTTCAGGTTCCCCGGTTTCAACATTTTCTTCCTCTTCTGCAGGATCACCTTGCGGTCCATGTTCTCTCGCCTCACCTCCTTGATCTTGGTCTTGAAAGCTGTAAGCGGAGAAAGGGAGAAACAGTTACCTCATGTATAAAGGTGTATGAGTTCTTGCACGTTACGTTTGGTACACTCTAGTTAATATTTTATGAGTACAAAATGCCAGACATGTGTGTCACTCTGTGCTAGCAAAATGGAACATGATAGCGGGTATCAGTGGCAGGTCAGCACCATGTCTTCAGGAACAAGAAGTAATATGCTAATGGAATTCTGCAAAGTTATACCGGTTTGGTAAAACGATCCACCTCCTCTGGAATATTTCATTTACTGTATTTTTCTTTACAATGTATTTTTCCTACCCCCAAAAGTTTGAGCGTGTACACTTTGCAACAGATTCCATCTGATTGAGCACCATTCAACTTCTTGCTCATGGGAGCCTCCGTAACAGTTGTGTGAATAAAAAAGGGGTTCACTATTCACTGAACTGAAACAATCACAAGCATAACTTTCTACACTACAATCAGTCAATGTAAATGCATTATTTTGTGGAATAATTTCCCTGGTGCTTTACACTAACTTTCTAGCATAATCTTTCAGTTATTTCAGTAATTTTAGGTGACTAGCATTAGACTGGCCGTCTCGCTACTGTAGGGGTTAGTGAAATGGAATGAATTCTATATCCTGAGATAAACATACTTTTATATTTATATCATATATATTGTGAGATAATTAATTTTCTAAAATTGTTGATGTAAGAAACAGAAAGGAATGTCTGTTTTTGGAAAAGCCAGCAGAGTAAATACCTAAAAAATTAAGTATTTCACCACACTGATGCAACAATATATAGAAATTCCAATGTTATTACAGACAGTCCTGATCAATGGCAGATAGTCCATAATGGCCTTATACACCAAGATATATTAAATCAGTAGACAAATGAATATCTGATAATATAAACTGCCTACTCCCACACTGTTATTATAAAATTAGTTTTTATTATATGGCCTGCCCAGATTATGATACATTGGCTATACTGTCATTTTCTTTTACACAAACAGATGTTCTGATAACTATCCCTTGCGTTTGTTTCTTAAAGAATTGCAATCAGGACATGTACTGAGCAGGACATTTTACAGAAGTAAAGCTCAAACATACTGAATCTCTGGCAATCTGTACTGCGGTTTCTTGTCACTTATTGGCTGACATGTAAACTGACATATTGGCAAGAAGCTGGTAGCCCATCGGCTGATATACTGGCCTGGATTAATTATCAGTCAAACTCTACATTACACCTTCATTCTTTTCTCTCGTTAAATCACAAAAATATTAAAATATTACCATGTAATCTGGTTAAAAACTGTTGCCTAAATCTGATTTATGCTCTGTAGAGGTGTATAGGTGTAGTACTGTTGCAAATCAAATACCAATACATAATCCAATACATGTTTCAGAGAATATCTGATACTAAATCCAGAGAAGTCATATGTGGTATCAAAGTAAAATGTAGTTTTACAGGGAAAAAACCATTACATTTGTCTAATGAAGGAAGATCTATTGTCAGTTATCTCATTCAGTGACCTTAACCTGCAGTCTTTTATTCAATGGAAGCATTGTATCCGTCTGGTTATGAGGGGGCTAAAACAGTGACAGTATAATTTGGAATTGAAAATAAAATCTGGCATTGAAAAAGAAACCTGAACCGAAAAAGTAAACATTGGCATTTAAACACTGATGCCAAATTTTTTTTGGAATGCCAAAATTGAATGTCAGTGTTCTCACCACATACCTGGTCAGGATTAGCTGCTGCTTGAACGTTTTAATCAGAATTGTCTTGCATTAGTGAATCAGTGCACAGCTTTGTTTTTGGATTTGACCTCATTCTGAATCTTGGGCTGTTTTTCAGATTGACGATAATACTCCTGATCTTTTACTAAACTCTATTTAACCTCCTAATCTCTCTGTTTCCTCCAGTTCCCCTTCTGAAAGAGAGCACGAGTCAGACTTTGGTGGTCCAAATCTCCATATGCCTCCACAAATTACGTCCTCTCATTCTCGGCTGGCAAACAGTGGGGTTTGTGCGGCACAGACGACCTTGTAACACAGCAGCACCAGAGAAAAAATGCGTGGCACGCTATGTCCAATCTAACTGACAGAGCCGGTGTTGGGATAAATCAATGAGTCATGTTGGAGATGAGGTCTTGTGACCTACAGTGCAGGGAACAGTCTGATTGGGCATGAATCATTTCACACTCAAGCAAAGATCTGGACTGATACACCTCTAACTACTCCACAGTTTTAGACACCAAATCCCTTTGACACACTTTTTTAAAAACCAGGACTGGCACTTTAAGAAACTTCCAAACGTTTCATCTCTACCTTCACGCCCGTATCTCCCACTGCTAATTGAAGTGCTAAAAAAGAGCCGCCCTGTTTTTCCCAGTATTAAGAGTGCACATGGTAGGGATTAAGACTTTTATCCTCTGTCTCTAGTCTCTCAAACATTCTCTATGAGGAGGCTTAGTGTTCATTGAAATCAAAATGGGCAGCGTTCATAATTAGTGAGTCATAAAAGAGAAGGCCCAGCCCACCCCTGAAAGGACTTGATAAATCCTCCATCCTCGATAATCCTTTGACGCTCTGAACTTTCTTTGCACCTCGTGTTGTTTGAGGGTTTAATCTCTTCGGCAACAGTGTACAGAAGTTAACATCAAATACTTGCCCTGTTTGGTTGTTAATGTTGTCCTTTGCTAGGGGCTGCTGAAACTGCCCTTGCATCCACACGTGGACGTCCATCCAGTAGGTGGTCTACATTTGTATGCTCCTTGTACAGGACATATCAGACATGGACTTGAACCATGCCAGCTTACTGAGCTGGCATGGTTTCTGCACCGGTGGGACAAAGCTTTTGTGCTGGGAGAATAAAGGGATTTGATTGAACCAGCCAAGAACTTTAAAGATATTAATAAAACTAATTCTCCCAAATCAATAAATATCTTAATGTGGCAACGGTATGCATGATTACAGTCTTACTTTTTTACTTAACTATATTTATCTGACTGCTATAGTTACCTAGCAGATTTTAATTCTACATACAAACATGTGATCCTCTATTAAAATATGATGGTCTTTTTGGACTGTGGACCTTCAAAATAGAAGATATCAGCTACTAATATGTACCCTCATCACAGGCTATGAGGACACCAGTTTTGAAGAATTTGACCAAAACGTGATTTTCATTCAGTAGTCCATAAGAAGAGAGACAAGTTAGACTTGTGACCCATCAGATTTCTCTTGAGACTCCAGGGTTGTGTGCCGCTGGATTATACTACTAGGAAGTAATATACAAGCTAAAATTACTTTTACTTTGAAGTACATTTTGCTGATATAACATTTTAAAAGCAGGACTTTTACTTGTACTGTATATTCTCATAGTGAATAGTTTAGAGTGGTACTGCTACTTTTAAGTATATGGCCTGAATTTTTTCTACCACTGCCTATAAAATACTTGGGGACGATTGAAAGGTAATAAAACAGTTTGATTAAACGGATCACAGCCAGTAGCCACATGCACCCAGTAACAAGGGTCAGAGGTAGAATTGCTTTGTTTTATGGGATCACCAGATACAAAAGGTTGGGAGGCACTAATTTAATACAATGAGCTCACACCATTATGCTTAATATCCAACAAATCTCCTCACCAAAAACCTCAGTAACTCATTTTGCTATGTTTTGATTACAATTAGCTTGGAATCATTCATTTGGAAAACAGATAACATGATCCAATTAAATAATCCTTATACAATTATAGTTAAACTCAGTGCAAGATAATATTGACCCAACTCTAATTCCATCAGTAGAATTTGGAAGTCTTATTTTGTAGAACACAGTGTGTACGCTGTTTGCTGCCGATTTTAACTTCTTAGAATTATAAAAACCTTAACTTTGCATAGTGTCAAGTAATGCAATGTTAAAACTGTTATTTTTGTAGACCTTTTCTTTTCTGGTCCGTGACCCCTGACCTTATTTCCTCTGCCGGTTCAGAGGCACAAACAGGACTTCCAGCTCCCAGGGTGTCATAAACCCAGCAGAAGGGTGTGCACTGCTCCCCATTCGCCATAATGGAAACACAACTGATCCGATAAGCTGAAGTGATCAGTCCTCCAGTGCAGGGCTGCCCTGTTGTTTACTGCAATTTGGCAACGACAACAAAGTGAGTTGGCCGAGGCAGAGGGGAGATTTAATTGAAGGGTGCTGGAGTTTTTTGGGACAATGAGGTACCGTAAAACCTTAAGCACAGAGATAAATTGCGGTGGGAACAAAGTGTTGAGTGGGATGAGCTGTAAATCTGTTACCAGCTGAGTGCCGCAAATGGGATGTGTGTGTGTGTGTGTGAGAAGGAGATTCATCAGGACTTCAGAGAAATCAGGGAGTGTCAGTCCTCATGAGAAACTAACAACGTTGGACTGAGAACCTGTTACTTGTTACAGCCGCTCTGATGTATTAGCTTGAAAATGCATATCCAACTTACAAGAGTCTTCTGCCAGAACAGCTTCACATCCAACCACCTTAAGTCAAAAGCTGTCTTGCGGCGGCATTCTCTGCTTTTATCAGGATCAAACTGCATGGAAAACTCAAACGCGCTTGTGCAACCGATGGGAAGCAATTACACAGGGCATCAAACCATAGACACACTACTATTACAAAAAAACAACTTCACACTTAACGTTTACCTTAAGTGAGAACAGACCTTTCGCAACTTCCAGTAAGTGAGGTTTTCAGTGGACAAAAATGCTAATTCGCTGCCAGGGTGGGGATATTTTACACATGATTGGTCCGTGCAGATTAATAAAGACTTCAGCGCAAGTCCCTGATTCATTCCTCAAACCTCTTTGTGGTTTTTCCATCCCTGTGTTCCGTAGAGAAGAGCGAGAAATCTATCTATCATATCTATTTTGCAGTTAAGGCAGTCTGCTACCTCCTGTTTTTGTCCACTTTCAGTCAAGTCAAAACTGGCAGAGTGCAATCAGGATGATGGTCTTATCTTTTGCTGATGGGATAAAACATTTCATGATTAAAGCTTGGGATTGTTCTCCTCCCATCTGTATATTTGCTTTTTCCTCAAGACAAGACTTTAATGTTTGGCTTCAGCTGATGTCAGATATATTTATAGTTGCAGTTTTCTCCTCAGACCAAAACTGAATTCCATCGGCCCACTGGAAAAAGCAGCAAACAAATCTTTAGCCTAGACGCCGGTGTAGCCAGTGATGCTATCTCTTGTCAGGCTGTGCGTTAGCAGCTTACGCGCTATAATCAACGTCAAGTCACAGTGACATTTGTTGCATTCCAGAGGAGGTTGGTCCCTTGTGGGTTCAAACCTGCAACATAAGCGACACAGTGTCTCATCCTCAGCCTGATACTAAATCTGCCTGTGTATCCCACACATGTCAGCCGGTTAGGGGGCTTATGACAAGCAAGCAAAACAACATCTGTCTTTATCCGAGATGAAACAAGCCAATAATGTGCCACTCTCCTCTTGGCAAACCCGGACGCAGACTGAAAAAGGCAACTCCCACCACCGCAGCATAAACAACATGGCAATTCGTTAAACAAATGTAACTTTAAACTTTTTCTGAGAATTGGAGGAAAGTCTGTTTCCAATGTGCACCCAGTCTATGTTTGCTCGGCATGGCACCTGGAATTCAAGCTGCCACAAGTTTTGGCCCAGCCAGCGAATAAAACATGAAAGCCCAACATCTTGCATCTTGTGTGCATCATGCGTATATTATTCCAGGAAGTCCTCATAACTGCGTTTCAGTTAATGTTTGTGTTTTTAATTGAACTCCAGGCCTTCAATGCTCGTACTTTGTTCCTCATGCAAAAATTTCAAAATTTCCATAAATCACTTGCCCCCATCAACTAATGATGCTCCTTCTTTCTTGGTTCACTCAGTCTGGTTTCCAATCCAGCTGGACTGAAGACGCTTTCACAAAATGAATGTGTCTTATTTTCAGAAAAGGTGATCTATCTCGGAAATTTCCAAATATTCCCGAACTTGGCCAGAGATATTCTCAAATTCTCTTACGTTCTAGATTTGTTACTATTCCAAAAACAGACATGACGCTAGAGACCATGAAACCCCTTCAAAATGAATAATATTACTGTGTGGTTGTTAATGGGAAAATAGAGCTGTTGAAACAGAGACTTTTTAAACCTGCCAGCGGAAACCAATTGTGAAGAAATACTGACATATCATTCCCCTTTGAGTTGATATGGTGAACTTATTGACACATCCGGCAGTTACAGAGGAAATTCCTTCGACAGTGCCTAGAATTTGGTATTGGGTATCTGTGAGTGTGTGTTTGTGCACCGATCCAATACCACGTAAATTATTAGCCCTGAAGTGGGACTTTCCAGCAGTGTACCATTGTCCTTTTCCCCCCAGGAAAGCAAAGCCATGCCCGCTCTACTCTAACAAACGGATTAACTTGAGCACATGTACGCACATGTATCGAATCGGAACATGGTAATGGGCGATATGTAAAGGTATTGGAATCAGTATCAGGAAGGGAAAATGGCATTGGAACATTATCATTCAGTTGGAGTGGTGTCCTGGCCACCTAACGAATGCAGTCCAGCATTCAGTCTCTTTTAGCTCTGATTTGGTCTCTGATAATGCTCCACTGTGTTCACCAGCTAATCTCTAACTGTGTCAGTTCTTTGGTGCTTTACGCTGAAAATACAAAACTATGAAAGCAGTGAGAGTGAAACAAAACAGTAAAGTTGTGGGTCCGACAGCTTGAGGAGCTGCAGACTTGCGTTGCAGAGTTTTCCCCATTTAGTGTTAGCAAAGATGACAACAATAACCAAAGTTACTAATGCATAGGAGTAGACTGACAGTAGATTTTAGGAATGGCTGCTCATTGAGTACAAAACAGGACCAGTTGTGCTTGTACACCGTGAATTTTCAATATGAACAAATCTTTACTGATCCAATATTTAAATTTTTTTGAACCAATTTTGAGTCTACATTATCCAATATATTACCCATAACATTACGCAGAAGTCAAACACACATTGTGCTCAGAGACATCGGGGCATCACATTTTAGCAAAGTCAGTATTTCTCATTTCCTCATTCCTGTGTATGTGTACGTAAGCAGTGTGTCATCCACTGAGCTCATTAAGCAACACAGGTTAAGGGTCAAATAAAGTTCAGTTTTTTTCAAATGGATTTTATTCTATATAGATTTTTTAAATATATATTTTTGAAAAGGATGTTATTAAAGAAAAACAAATACATGGTTTATCAGTAACTACTTCATTTAGGAAGACATGTAGTGTGGATTGTCCCCCATGTGCAGATGCAACAACAGTCCGCCCAGACAGCAGAACAAACATCCCACTTTACTACTGCGAGGACCTGCCACATAAAGACTTTAATGACCCCCATTCATTAGTCACAGAACATCATCCTCCAAACCAGACAGGCCTGGCACATCTGACCCAGAGACAAAAATGTAGCTTTTACATAAAAAACTGGGACTAACCAAGAACATTCCTGGCATGAAACAAGTTCTATAGAGTTCACTGAGGTGGAAATGGCCAAGTATGGTCCGATGCAGGGTGCACTTCAGGGGGAATAAAATGCAGCTTTGCATACTTTGTTAAGAATTTATGGGGTGTTTTAAAGCTTAAAGATGTAAGATACTATTGATGCAATCTCATGGTTGCTCTTTTGATTTCATGGAGCACTGTGATACATGTCAAGGCGTATCAGAGCGATGCGCGTGGACAATATTTCGCATGTTGTGTGCTGGGAGGACGCTTACCGAACTCGCTGGCACACATGTGCTCCAGCATGGCGTCTGTTTTCATTTCGTTGTCACATGGAGGGCAGATGGGAGAGTAACCTGCGGATAAAAGAAGGAGACATGGTTTGGAAATCAGTGGAAAAGTGGAAAATATAAAATGCAAGTTTCAGTAATACCAGCAATGAATCACTCACATGGCTTTACATTGTAATCATCACATTGGATCGCCACCCATTTAGGATGCGGTCAAACCAACAAAGAAAGAAACATGAGGGATGCAAAATAGTAATTTCTTATTTGAAATGAAGGGGAGTTCAAGTAAAATCACCACACTGCCTTAAATTCCAGTTTTTAATGACTTATCCTGCAGATCTCTACACACACCTAACCCCTCTCTGCATACACAGATCCTATCGAGTGTCTGGTGTCAGTCGCCTGGTCTCTTGGGCTTCGTACGCTCCGATGACCTGACCTCAGTGAGGAATGTCTTCAGCTTTTATAGCCAGCTGTAACTAAGGGCTGCAGTAAAAACTCTTCCTCACTCTGTCACATTTAGAGAGTTTTCAAAAGAGATCTTTCCATAATGCTCAACAGTGACATATACACCCTTAAATGCACAAAAAAACTGTATTAGAAATGTGGAAGGAATAAATGGTAATGATATTCAATCCAAGCTTAAAGGAATGCTCTGACATTCCCAAAAAAAAAGAAGGTAATAATAGCCGGCTCGAAGACAAAAACCCGACTGAAGACAAAGAGCCAAAATGTGTTTTTGCCAAAAAGTAATTCAGTCTAGAGGCATATCTGCGAATATTTTACCAACACAATTTTTCAATTTTTTCTAATACCACGAATGATCGCTTCATGCCAACAGCTGAGTTTACTTTCCAAACAAACTTGGACCTGCAGCACTTAATTCAAACGGACTGCATTTCAATGTCACAGCGTGGATGTGGATCTATGGAGCAGAAGGGTGAGGAAAGGGAAAACAAATCTCTCCGTTGCCAGTTGTCCATTACATGTGTTTAACGGAGGCTTGTGAAAGTAACACCCAGGTGTAAAGAGCTTGTGAAAACAGACACTGTTTACAGAGTCACACGGGGTCCCCTTTGCCTATGTGAACCTGGTTCTCCTTTAAATCAATTATCACCAGCCTGTATTCAGCAGTGGCGCGGTAAGCACTGTTAGCCAACCTCTATTAACAATCATTAAGGAGAACGGCTGAGGAGATTTGGCCTCTAGCAACCTGAAGATCGCATATTACCGCCTTCCCAGAGGATAATGATGGTGGAAAGTGAAATTTCCGTGACACTCTGAGTGGACCGAGGTCGGCCCTAACAGGCCCGGCTCTGTGTCCTCCTGCAGAACGCCGGCTTTATTTATCACCAGCGCTGACAACACATGATAACAGGTGACGTCTGGAGAGTGCGGAGCTCTGTGTGGTCCTCCTTTACTCTGAAAAGGGAGTCTTTTTCAGAAAAACAGGCCTCCGTCCATACCACCATGTCAGTCAGTAACACCCCCCCTCCCTCCTCCACACACACACACACACACACACACAAGGGGACATGTTCAACACAGTGAGTGACTGTGTAATTGCTGGAACATCCACAGTCCCCCCATTTATGGCCAACATGTTCAGCAAAAATGTCTTCAAGTGGTGTATTTGGGGCTTAAGATTGAAATATAAGTAAGTTGATGATGGAAATTCCCCTCTATATAATGGTTGAAGTGAATGAGGTGGTTGTACTTTCCCTTCCCTGGCGTACACCTTAGCTAGGCGACCGGCAAGGACGCCGAGCCGAGGCTTCAAACCAAAACTATTCCAGAGTCAGCCCGGGCTTTATCTTCCCCAGGCTTTTGTGCATTTTTCAGGGTTTCTCTGGTATTTGTCAGCTTGGCCCATCGGGTTACTGCTGGAAGAGCATTTTACTGGAGTATGTTACTCCCTCCCTCCCTCCCCTCCCCTTCTCTGATGCTGCATGAGGTGTCTGATTCTGCTTCATACCACGGGGTTGCCATGTCCTTGGGAGCTTTGTTTAGAAACCGCTGACTCCCGCTCACCTCCAGGCTAGATTTTAATATATGGACAGTGCGTTTTTCAAATTATTGTCTTCACCTTTCTGTCTTTTTCATCAGTTTGAATGCATTTGTCAGTGGTTGCGCTAGGGGATTAATAGATGCAGGTATTCGCTTCTTCGCTGCTGGACGTTCTCCCAGCATTGTCCTCCGGTTCAACAAACACCTTGAAATAAATGACTACCATCTGTTGCAGCTTTTTCAATATTACAACATCACTCCAAGTCAACAGCAAGCAACTACACATTCACACCGGAGCCAGAGTTTATACAGCAGATTATACATTGAAAAGGAAATGTAACCACATAAGACTTTCTTTAAGGAGCATGTGAGGGGGTTAAAATGGGATCATGGCTGATTTCCCCCCAAAAGGTCGTGTTTGGCTTGTTTGTGTTGGGATTTGCATCTGTAAACACACCTTCACCCCTGAAACAACATTCTCAAGCTCATTTAACTGCACGGGGGTGTAGACTTTTACACAGTGGCAAAAGTGGTGGCTGTTTGTTTGCTCAGTCAGGGAGTTACTCTGAGTTTGATAGCTAATGCTTGGTTAAATCAAGAAATGCCAAATGGCTGCGTTGTAGTCTGGCAGATTCAAATATAAACTCAATTCCATACAAAATTATAAACTGCTTCATCATTTGAGTCATTTATCAAGCAAAAAAAAATGCTAAATGTGTGCCCTTTCCAGCTTCGGGGTGAATCCACTGTGAGGATCTGCTGCTTGTCTCTGTTTTATTTCATTGTGAGTTGAATTTTGGTCTCTTAGTCAGACACAACAAGCAATTCAAGACGGCAGCTTCAGCTTCAGCAGCACTGAGGACACTGAGGTCATGTCCTCTGTATTTTCTAATGGAAATATGGGGGGTTTTTCTAACCTGCAGGGAGTTTAAGTTTCAAATTTAAAGTTACCCAATGGTAGTTATTTTATTGCATACAGTGGTTTCAGACTAAACGCATATAATATATTTAAACTAAACTACTTTTAGGCAACTTGTAATTCCGGGCAGTGTGGAGAAGATTGAAACTGAATTTGAAAACAATTTACAGAAGAAAAAATTTAACACATAAGTGGAGAATAAATCCATTTGGGGGCAAAAAATCTCTGAGAAGGGGGGGATGTGTCAGGAGGGACTTGGGCCCGTGACCTTAGTAATTCTAAGATTCTGGTTACGCCCTGTGCTTTGGAACTTTTGGTGGTTAATTTCTCACTTGATTTCTGGCATATTTTAATTCTGTTTTTTGTTTTGTTTGTTGTTTTTTTTTACCATTTTTAACTTGTTTTTATAACTAATATTAGTCTTTTCATTTCTTTAATTCTATCGCTCCATTTGTCTCTAGATTTGAATGGCTCATTGTGTCACTGTTTCTCTTGTGAAGCACTTTGAGCTGCTTTCTAAGTTCATTTAATTCAATTGTTCAATTATCATTATAGTCGTTATTTTGTAGAACAAAGAATTAATCTGAAGTTCAGTTCAGTCATAGTGAAAATATGCAAGACCACCACTTTTTTTTTTAAACTTAGCATGAGGGGCCGAGGAGAAGGCCTGTCCATCAGCTAACATTAACATGCTCTTGATCCAGGCACTAAGCCCTCAGATGTCCCTGTGGAACCCTGTGGTTCTACCGGGCAGCTGCTGTTCAGGGGGTAATAACACACACTTCCATATGCCTCCATCAGCGTGCACACATTACCTGCGGTACTGGTGGACTCGGTGGTGTTGGGCTGCGTCATGGCCATGCACACGTCGTCTTGGGGAAACTTGTCACAGGTGAGCATCTCCGGCCAGGGGAAGCCGAACGCCTCCATGATGGGGGTGCAGCCGTCCCGCACGGCCTCGCACAGCCAGCGGCACGGGTAGATGGGCCGGTCCAGGCACACGGGCGCAAGAGCGGAGCAGAGGAGAACTGCGTGCCCGGGTGGCAGTTCTTGTGCACCAGTGGCACCCAGCTGCTGGCCTGCTGCTTCACCTCGGCCATGGTCTCGTGTTCCAGCAGGTTTGGGCAGCAGCATCTGGTTGTAGCCCACGTTGTGACAGAGCCGCAGGTCGTCCGGGATGTCCACGCACTGGGGAGGCTTGCCGTAGCTGCGCCCGCCGTTGTACGCGTCCGCCTTCCAGCTGAGGTACTCGTACTCTGACGCTCGGCACGCTGACATGAGCGCCACTGTCACCGCCAGCCGGATCATCCTCCAGAAGGACTCAGAAGCAGCCCTCATGTTTTCTCTTTTTTCCTGCAGCAATAAAACGAATGCGGCTCAGTGCGGCTCAGACACGGCGGCTCGGCGCTCACTGCATGAAGAAGTGAAAGAGTAACAACAAGAAACAAATGTAGTGGGGGTGGTGGGGGGGCGCGCGGTAATCGTGTTGAGTTTCTGGTGTTGGGTAAAGTCCACAGGCAGTGTCCTCTGTCTGCAGCCCCGTCGCGCTCCTCTGGTGCGTCTGGCTCCTGTGAGAGTTTGGGGAAGTGAAGCGCTCTGCCTGTGCGAGCTCGGAAACAAGAGGAGATTGTAAAGTGCGCTCCGGCCAATCGGAGTGCGTCTGCGCCTTTTGGCACTCTGCTGTCAGTCAAAAAGCTTAATTACCCAGCGTGTAAAAACTCTCCAGGAGCCTCCATACCCCTCCTTTTACTCCCCTGCTTGTACTTCCTTTGTCCAAACAAAATACTTAAAAAACATCATAGAATTGCAAAAGGAGACACGCATATACCATCAGTCTGGGTTGTGGTTGATATACGTTTTTTTTTATATAAGTTTTGCGGAATAAAAGTGTATTATGGAGCACTGCTTTGGGGTTTATTCCAGTTCCATACGTGTGGCGCAGTCAGTGAGGATGATGAAGGAACCCTTACCCAGTAAAGTGAGGAAATCCTAATTGAATTAATATTATTAACTAGAAACATCCGTACAAGAGAATGTGTGAGGAGGATAGCCCCAGTTTGTGCCTCTCATAACATTCCAGTCACAGAGCTAAACATCATTTCACTGAGAATAAAAACACCCAGAAGGTTGTTGAACAAAATTTACTGCTGTTCTGAAGCTGAATCCTCAAAGAATCTTCAAACCATCGAGTTGCGATTGTAGGGCCGGAAAAGACATATCTCCTTGTTCTTCTTTAGTATTTTTACCCTTTTCTGCTCTCTGCACTACATCCTCTGTGCTGCTGTGCCAAATTTCTATTTCTCCTATGGGATCAATAAAGGAACATCTTATCTTTTTGTGCAACACACACATTGTTTTGTTTGCAAAATGTAAAGTAACATCAATACAGACAAATGTAAATCCTTTTTTACAACTGTACAAACTGAGCAAAGAGATATATCATTTCCAGCTAGTCTTTGTTTGGGTTAGCAAAAAGAGGAGCAACTTGGGAAATGAGTATAAAAAATGTATTTATCTTGCAGAAGACTCATCCAGATGGTTCAAAGAGTCTTGGAGAGTTCAGCAAATGTCTCCAGAACTGCAGTAGGTTTTTACTAAGCTACCCTCTGGGTTCTGTAGAGATTGCACAGTGTTTGCTGTTTAAAGAATACGGCGCTCAGCTCTGTGAGTGATGCAATGATAGGAGGCACAAACTGGGTATACGGCCTGCTTTCATTCCAGTGCTTTCCAAAATGTGTTGCAGGGAACACAGTGACTTACTGAGGATACTGAAAAGAAGCCCTTTCAAATAAAATTAGGAAATAGTATTCTCACTAATAATACATTCCTGTGAAGAGAGTGTGTAATAAAGTTGTAAAGTGCTGAGCCAAATTTTATCTGACAATAACCGGTTTTCTTGAGGAGTCCTTGTGGACATTATCTTATCAAAGGGGGGTTGGTGATCTAATACAGCTCTGTTTGTGCTTGCTGGACATGCAAACGTTGGGGAAGTGCTTCTTTATGCAACCTAATTACACACTGCAGGCTAAAGTCAATTTGCTGAGCCCCGAGTGTCCATCTCCTCCCGGCTCTGCCCCGTTCCATGATAAGACCGAAGGTGTGAAATCCCTCTATTTAAATGTAGGCTGATTTGCATTCCATTGTGTTGGTAACAGTTCTTGCTGAGCGGCAGAAAAAACAAAGCCCTTAATTTGATTTTAAGTGTGGATGCAGCAAACGCAGACCTTTTAGAGTAATAGCTTTGTTGAACTTATTTATCAAATCAATGTGTTTTGCAGCTGTCTCCACCGCAGAGGACAACGCTCACCTAGACGTTTTCTTCTTCTTGAACTGAGGCCAGGAGGAAAACATTCTGCAACAGCGTGCAGAATGTTAAATGCATTATGTAGTATGGATGGCTGGATGGTGACAGATGGCACCATAATTAAACACTGACTGTAATTTTCTGGGTGCAAAAGTTGGAATGAAAAATTAAAGTGTCAAAAAATCGCAGTAAATAATTCTTGAGCTATAATCAAAATCAGAATCTGGGCAACATGTAATGTGAAAAAATAATCCAACCTGAGATTGCTCATTAGTTAAATTATCCATTAACTAAGCAATCTGCATGCCAAAGTGGTGATGTGTGATGAGATGAAGGCCAGCTGATTCTCCAAAGCACTTTAAAGACGACACCTCTGTTAACATTTCAAATAAATGGTGATGGTTTAATAAGGGTGGCTGTGTTTGTGGCGATGCTACACAGACTGGTTTATGGGCTGATGGCATCCAACAACAGTTTGTGCATAGACGGTTGCTAAAGCAAACTTCAAATTCAGGAGACAGGAGGGTTTTTTCCCTCCAGACTAGACCTGGCTTTGCTCAAATGCATGAGGAAGCCTCCTGTCAGAGGAGTGATAGGCCTGCTAAAAACCACCAGCGGGACAGCAGCAAGCCAAAACCTCAGTGAGACAAAGAACTGCAGCGAGCGGAGAAGTTTGCATTTACTTTCCATATGAGGGTACAGCAGATAAAGGAAAAATGGATGGAGGGAAAATAAGCTTCTGCAAACAAAAGCAGATATGAACATTTAGGCATGGATGTCACTGTTATCATTCACTTTCCAAACTTTGTGCTTTAACAGTGTGCGACTAACAATGGAGAGACTAAATATTTGGACTTTCGGGCCTCTGGGAGGACTGAGTTTCCCAAAGACGGGCTATCCATCTATATTCACCACTGTTTAAAGTCGCAATCTCGCTTACATGTGCATGTATTGCCATGAAAGGGCATTTTGGCTCGGGTAGAACGAACATGTAGCTATGTCATTAAGCATCTGTCAGCAGCGAGCGCTGGCTAAACACTGGAGCTGCTCCAGAGCACAACGTCAGCCGTAGACTCACGAGGTGTATGTGCATGAAGGATGCAAAAGCTCTGTTATATAGAAAATAATATAGACACCTGCTTTCTGTCAGGTAACACCAGAGAGTGCAGAGAGTCACGTATGGCATTGCTGTTCCTTTATTTATATTCACAGACTGTATGGCATCATTTTAGTTAGTTATCAACTGGTTTCATTTAGTTTTCTCTTACAGACGGAAAAACGTGACAGAATGAGTGGAGAAACGTGCCTAATGCTGAGGCCCTTCATACAGGAAACAAGGGGTCATTGAATGGTTTGATGAGATTGTAACCTATGGGAGAACGGAGAGGGTTCCAGACACTGAGCTTTGTGTTGGTCTGTCCTTTAAAAGGACCAGTGTGTAGGATTTAGTGGCAATCTTACTTCACCCTCCCTTTCCAAGCACGAAGGAGAAACTATGGGGCCTGCAAAACGCACAAAAAAAGGCCCTATCAACACTGTGAAAAAAGAATCTCAAGAAAATAAAGAAGCCTTGTTTCTGGGAGTCTTATTTTTTGTCTAAAAAGAAAAATGATTTTGTCAAACATGTTTTTCATTAGAAAAGTAATCTGGTTTTAATAAAATATATCAAACTTTGTGTTAATAAGATATTACAGCTAATATTGAGCTCGACTGAACCAATAACAAATTCCAACAATGGTTTGCAGAATATCCCAGCAGAGGAACAAGATTATTGTCCTTGTTTTAAGAGGAAGACCACTCGCACAACTTCTCAGTTTAACAGAAAATAGTCTCGTCCCAGTGTTGGAAATGAAGCAGCTATTTTGTTTTTCATTGTTTTAATAAATAATGCTAAACATAAGAATGCTTCTGGTGCCTTCATTTAAAACAAAGGCACTTATATTATGCTGTTTAAAGCCATTTTCTGTTAATTATGAATCTTAATTAGGTACAAATTCTTAAATTCAGCTAAATAAAGTGACCAAAATACTAATTTTAAGAGAGAGTTTTCAGTGCTTGTAATAAGAACCGCTAGCTTACAGTTTTTTCAGACCCATTACAGTGTTTCTGTGGATATTTTATGCTAGTTTTAAGAATAATAGCCAAGTAAAACTGGCTTACCCCACTGGCAGCTTTATTTACTCAATACAGGAAAATGTAATTATATTTAAGAATATCTGGCTTGTTTCTAGAAGGGCTGTTTTTGCAGTGTACAGACAGAATTTGGTTTGTCCATTCTAGGCTCCTGTAGAAACATAGTGGTTCAACATGGACTCCATGAAAGGTGACCCGCGGCGTTTGTAGATACAAACAGCTCATTCTGACGTAACAAAAGCTCACAGAAAATACACATATACATTGATAATTGCTACATTGTGGGCTCCAGACTTGAGTGATTATTTGATTTAAAGTTTATAATAAAAATACCCATTGTAGCCTCTTTTAGTAACTGCAGAGCCGCAGGTTCTTTGCAGTACCCAGCAGTCATGTAAACAAGAAATCCTGTCTCTGTAATCGGGGCTGGGGTTAGATAAACCCTGATTTATTTTCCACCTAGATTCCTCTTCTCTTCTTGGTCATGTGAACAAGGGTTTCCAATCATCTTTTTACATGTGTGCATGTGCATAACATAGACATCAGACAGGGAAAGTGCCACTGTGACAGCAGTGTGGGGGGATGAGCAAGAAGATTACTCCACAAAAATAAATGTAAAACTGAAACAGACATTAAGCAGCCTGTGCAACTCTAAATGAGTTCACTGTATAACCCGACATTCAGTGAAGTGGGAAGCATCAGGAAGCAGCATCTTGTATCACTTAACACTGAAATTGAGTAAGCAATGGTTGCAAAACACAGGGGCACTCACCCTAAATTCTCTATTCCCAACATGATGTTGCCACACTGGCAAATGACACTTTATTCCTTGAAAAATAAACGCCAAGACATGTTTTCATGAAGTTCATTCATTGTTCAGTGGTTTCTTCCAGAAAGGAAAGTCAGGAAGCATGCACTTTAAGGACATCTAAACAGTTTTCCAATGTGTACAAGGCCAATACGATACTGATTTTAGGGGAGAACAATTCAACTATTCGAGATATGGAGATAGATATAGTACATTTCTGAGCTGCAACAGAAAAAAATAGACCTCATATGGATTAAGCATTGATTTTGCAGCAAAATGACTGCACAAAGGGAGTAGAGCACTTTCTAATGGACAATGTAATTTAAACTACTTTAAACACATTTCTATGCCAGTACAGATATCGATATCCCTCCTCGCCCTTATTCTTAAGCCATTCCTTTCCGTGCATTGCACAACAGTTGATCAAAAAGAATAACTCATACAT